ACACACACACACACACACACACACACACACACACACACACACACACATAGACAGCAGTCGTTCGCTTGAGACTATTATGTGAAAACGTGATAGAGATTTAAATCAAGGAATCGCATAAGCCTCTCTAACCAAAAGAAGAAAACAAAAAAAAACACCCGACTTTGGCGTTGATCTTTTTCGAATAGTCTAACCATCATGTAAAATTTCCTAAATTACTTAGCTCTTTTCGTAGGTAATAACCATTTAGCATGTTTTAACATTAAAAAATAGCTTCTTTCTTTCACCTTTGCTAGCTCTTCCTACGGTGAAAGACCAGGACAAAGGCCATTGAGTACGAGCTATTTACATGAACGAGATACACCAACCGTTATTTCCGGTGACAATGCTTCCGATGCCGCCAACACCACCGTCAACCAAATGAAGCAATCGAAAACAAACAACAGCGATAATGACAAGAGTAACGTCAATAGCACCGATAAAACCAACACCATTGACACACTCAAAAATCCAATTTACGAATCGAATACGGTGTCGACCGCTTCAACGGATACCCATCAATAGTTTTTGAATGTCAACATGACGTGTGATGCACAATTATCATCAAATCAGCGACTCTAGTGGACTCACGATTTGACTAAATTTTTATTTTAAATTTAAATTCCGAGTTTTAGTGAACTGATGGGAGAAAACCCCGTATTTAGCACCAAAAACAAAACAAAAATCAAACCCACTATATCTCCCAAAATCCCTTGCAATATTGAACAAAGGAGAATTTCATAGTTATTTATTTCTTTTTCGAGACATTCTGCGAAATTTCAAGCCAAATTTACAGTATACATTTGGAGTGTGTTCAAGGTGCTCAACTCTTAACGCTTGTTGCGTTTAATCGTTGCACTTTTGATATTTTCAAACAAATTGAACATTGCCCGTTTTTTTAGTGTTGGACAAAAAACAATCAAAATGTGAAAAGCAACGTTGTGATGCTCTCTCCCTCACCTTTACCAATCCGTTTCCACTTTTCCACTGGAAATAATTCGTTTGGTCCATTAATCCTAAGCTTTAGTTTTTATCGATTTTAATTATAAAATTTAACTTAATCTAAAATTATAATAAAGACAAGCATTTACTTTTATTGCATAAATTTTGCGTGTTCTCATTGGTGCTGTTGGTTGTAGCATAGCGAAAACTCAATAAAATACAACATCTTTTTGTACCTCTTAGAACAGAGCAACGTATCTCAGATGAATACTTTAACCACTCAAGCGTCAGGTAAAACACATCGAATTTTTTCAGGTTTGATTATTCCCAATAGACCCGTACCTCTCGACATGGAAAATGGTAGAACTGGCACAAGAAGGATTTCTGTCGGCATTATTAATAAGCTCTTTTAATTCTTTATATAATAATTATAGTTTGCTGATATGCTCCAACTCGTATGCGAACTAAGACGGTAAGCGCCATATTTGATATACAAAAATTTGTATCCAATTTGATAGAATCGCAGTATGTGAAAACTGAATTTGTCGAAGGTTGTGTGCTGTACAAGTCAATAACTCAAATGGTTCACCCAATAAAATGATGATGTGAAATATATTTGGAGAAAATCATGTTGATTTTTCGAAAAATTTATCCATAAACTTACTGAATAAATTTTAAAGGTTGTCTACTTAATCAAAGGGTTTAAATGTTACTGATTCAAAGTACAACATCCCGATGGCTTAAAATTGAAAAATATATCTAATTAGTAAAACGTGAAAAAGGGCATCTAGAAGTTTTAATTGGTCATATAAATGTGTAGTAATTTTTTTCATTTTTCATCTGGCTCAACGTGATTCCAGTACCAATGGGCAACAGACATTGTTTTTACTCGACTCAACATGCGAATTCGGTAATTTAAAAAAGTAGCTATGATTAGGGTTTTTTCGTAGATTTTTTTCCAAAAATGAAATAATAATGCCTAAGTAGAAAACTGCATCGTAAATTTGGCCTGGATAGAATTGCTAAAAACGATATCAAGGGTTACTTAAACGTAACGAAAATGGAATAAGCTCAGTAAGCAACGCAAGTTTGCAATGGAAACAATGACACATATAATTTTCAAACCAAATCGCGATAAAATATTTATATGTTGTTGTATATCTGCCGGGAAAATGTGAAAAAAGTCTTAAAACTTTCTTTCACATCTCAGCAGCCAACGATGGAAATTGTTCGCCAAAGGAAAAAAAAACAACGTTTGAAAAAAAGCATAAAAAAGAAATCAACAGAAGCAGAGGATGTAAACCAGCATGTGGCCGAAGTTTGCGGTTTAAGCTAATTTGAATTTATACCCTAGTGATTTCCTAGTCGTATTTTTTGCATTTCTCTTTTTACCGGTTCTCTGCACATTTTCCGACACTCAAACGACTTTCAAATGGTGTATTTTTTTCTACTTTCGAATGTTGTTGCTATGGGCTTGCCGATAGCATATAATATATTAAAATTCAGCAATAATATGGGTAAGATTATGAGTAACTTTCTTTTGACGGGTGCGTAATCTGTATTGATTGAATTAATACAATACTCGAAATATTTCACGCGAAACATATCCTTTTGAAAAGCACTGAACAAATTTTCAAATAGTTTTGTTGTTTCCTGGGAAGAAAATGCATCATTCGCAGATAAAATTCGAATTTTTACGAAATGAATAAAATATGTGAAAATGCTGCGGTACAAAGCAGTTGCTCTTTAAACTATGCCACAATGCAGCCGGCCAAAGAACCCATGCAAATCAATATTACTTTTTGCAATTTCATTTTTTTTGCCCCATCCACGGATGTGCAGGGAAAAACAGCTCATTAAAGCGAAACCTAATTACCTTATTCGCTCTTGAACGTAAACAAAAACTTGGCATTTATCAAATGAGACTCTAGAGATCGGATAAATGATATTGATTTTAAAGCATATGCATTATTTGTAGACCAATATTGGGTACAGCTATGTGTAAGTAGTTTTTTTTTTCTTGAATGAAGCATGTATGCATGGTCTTAGAAAATGTCTGATGCTATTATGAAACTAAATGGTTTGAAACGGTTCACATTCATAATATTATTCAGATAATTTATTTTGCACGCAGTATTTCCATATCGTTTGACGTTTAAAGACCAGAAGCACATGCATGTCTCTTAAGACTAATTGCACAAGTGGTTGGCCATTTCCAAAATATCGAATACATATTAATGAATGTATCGTGTTATCGTATGAAATTGTAATCATATATTTTGACACAGTCCAGTGGCTGAAATCACAATTCGATCATTACAGAACCAGACAGTACATGAGTACATACTACATATATTGAAGCATTTGAAATTCTGACATATACAATTCGGTCCAATATTTGGAACATGGTTATAACTCAAATTCAACCGTTGTGTATCAAAACCAAATGTCGGCCGTCCGAAAACCAAGCGCTCACCAAAAGCACCAACAACAACAAAAATAGCCAGTTCCGAATCGGTAAACATTAAACGGCCATTCGATGTTGGTACATTCTTCGCAAACAGCAACGAAATAACATAGGGCGGTAGGAAACCAAGATTCCATCATAGCCTCCTTCGAGTTTCCTTCCGTGCGCACATTAATACTTTGTTGCCTTCTGTCAAGGGACATACACTACTATAGTATTCTCAAACAATAGAGAGAGAAACAGTAAAAAAAGGCGAATGCAAGAAATGTTCGTGTGAAATTATTTGAATACGGGCAAATGAAATGGCATAAATTTCTAATCTTTCACACATTTGACACTATCATGTGACACTAATTATTTGCTAAGTCCCATTTTAGTTGTAAAACATATTTTATGACTGGTCGTTTGGCGATAGTCACGTATACAATGTACTCGAACTTTCTGCTACATATCGGTTTGCATAGTCGACCCACTCTCTGGAAATCCAATGGCAACTGCAACAAAAATAACAATCACAGCGCGACATTGTGCGGCGATAATAAAATTTTAAACTGTCACCCCGTTCCGTTAACACCCACATATATGCATCAGCTCCTCCGTTCCGCTCTTTTGCAATTTGCCAAGCATTCACATTTCATGGCAATCATAAATTTTATTACATGATATTCCCGAGGTTTGCCTGTTTACCATTTTTCCACCGTACATCGACTGGATTGCGCCTCTTTATCACGCCATTTCATTTTATTGGCACTTTAACTCTTCACCCTGTCTATCCTCAGCCCATTTTTCCACACAATCATCATTTATTTGTTCAAAATGAATGACATTTGTAGAACATTTGCTCATTTTCGTTGGAGAATTCAATCAATTTCATTGCGTTGAATGTGACCGAGTTCGAAGAACCAAACACATGAACGAATAAAAAAAATAGTTGCCACTTTGGCCTCGGGTGTGATCTGCATTGAACTTTAAATCGGTTATTTATCGACAACTTTGGCTGGGTAGTTCAAAAAATTATGACATCGTTAGGTGTTTACATATATTTTTGCACCGAATTCTATCTCGAATAGAAAATTATGCAGGGAGATCGAAATTATGTGCATGTGCTTGTGAGATAAAACGAAATCGACTTACACCAAAGCAACAAAACGATGAATGGATCATTTATAGTTTTCTACCACTATAAACGTCAGCGATCAACATCAACAGAGACACTATAGCACATAGCATTAAACGCACTATTGCTTCACTCTTTGTACACACTTTGACATCACTTATGCTTTGGCGCGCGTCGTACGTTTTTCAAACGTTTATGTTTGATTCAAGTATTTCACCGATTTCACCGAATTTTCTTACTCAATATCAATATATTCATTCTTACTTGGAAGTTTTTTTTTATTGCAATGATGTTTTAAAATATATTTTGTCGAGAAGTTTTTTTTTCAATTTCCAAAATTAAATGAAATTAAAACACATAGCATGAAACGTATTCATAGTAGAAATGCATATGTATTAGTTTGTACTTATTCATTATAATGTATTTAGATAGGACGCTAGCGCGGCCTGATAGTTTTCACACTTAAAAAAGGCCCATCTAACCATAAATGTTTTGGGCGGTAAGTTTATGGATTTTCAGTGAAGTGCCAGCCGAAAAAAAAAATCAACAAAAATGCAGCAAACGGATCTCACACGGCTTTGCACAACATTTTCCATTCCAAAGCGGAAAAGGGACGATTCGGTGCGGCTTTTTCGGCTATGCATGTTAATATGTTGCGTGTTTTACACGCAACAAATCTAAATAAATTTCCATATAGCACGTACCACATCACCGATTCAAAAGTGAAAATATTTATTGCAAACTATTTATTTTAGCTGGACTATACTGCTCTGCCATGTGATCGTTATTCAGAATGAATGTGGTCGGCACAAATTCGAAATGTGCTTTTGAAAACAATCAACTGCCGTGCTGATACCTCGGGTATTCAGTTCCAAACTCAAATGCACAACAAATATATAAATCTAAATTTATTAGAAACATTTTCTACTACCTTTCACATTTCCAAGTATTGGCGAAAACTTGGCCTCTCGTTGAAATAAATTTTGCTGCTGATTTTCACTGAACAGTTTCGTGTGAGCCGGTTCATGGCTATGGAATAAATCGGAACGTATGGTTTGCACTTAAAATGCAGTGAATGTTTGTGCTTTTGTAGTCACACATACACAAACATGCACATAATCATTTTTGGTCGTACTGATTCATGGCTAAATATTGTAAAGGTCACAAACTAATGAGATTTATGGTGCACAAAAGCCACAGATGATGACTGTGATCTTTTCGCACATATATGTGCGGTAATTGTTTGAATTATCTTGCATGATCCATAAGTGATGTGACTATGAAACTACGATTTTTTTTTTCATTCAACGATTCACATTGAATTGAATTCCAATTCAGGTTTCCGACCATTCGATTGATGTGTGGTTCATTTATTTAAATGTAAAAAATTTTGTTTCTTGTGTTGCATCGCTTTAGAAATAAATGGCATAAATAACAGTCATTTAAAACCAATATCCAAGTAAATATTCCTGTAAAAGTGGGTTCGATTTGCCTACAATAAATTGTTTACCTATTCTCCTTCTGCTGGATGTACTACGTTCTATTTCCATTTTTCTTAGCAATTCGCACATGCTGTCGA